GATACCCCCCATGCGTTGCCATTCCTGAGGACTCGGGTATTATTCCACCAGTATGCCAAAAATATACATATTCCAGTAAATTCACGCCATATCCCACCCTTCAAACCGAAACACAGCCATGCAAACACAACTGCTTCACGGTTGAAACAGTAAACTCTGTCAGTATTAAACCGATATGGTTTTTTTTAAAGGATATACTTAAAAATTAAAACAAAAATATTACCATAGAAATTTTATCACAATCGAATCAGTAGTTTAGTTTTTAAATCAAAATAACTGAAAGTCTTTTTTTTTTGTGAAACACAATCTTATTTTTATGCAGCTTAAAATGGCATACAAGCTAATGGTTTACTTGATGGAAATTGGTAACCGTCACTTGTAGACACGAAGAGCGGTATCGACAACACAGTATATCCTATACTGTATCATCTTCCTCGTGCATTGTCTTGAAAATTAAGTTGTGTTGTAATGCCTTCGTGTCATCAAAATAGTTACATAATTGGTGAAAGTTAAGGTTCAAAATTAATAAAATATCTTATAAAAATGTGAAACGATGATGTTTGTAACGATGAATGGATGGATGGATATTTGTTACTCTTTCACGCAAAAAGTACTGAAAGTATGTGAATAAAATTTAGTAGACGGACAGGTTATATCCTAATTTAGCACTTAGGTTAATTTATCTATTTAATTTACTGATTCACGTAGACAAAACCATAGGATACAAATTGTATGTAATAACTTAAGTTTTGCTCCAAATAAATAAGAAAACGATTTCAAGAATGATAAAATAAATAAAGAATTTATGTATTTATGTATGTACATTATAAGCATCGTTTTATATTGCTTATGTATGTATATTTATTGCGTATAGGTATACATTATTACCTGTTATTACCTTTACTTATCCCATTAAAAAAGGTTAAAAGGTTGTCTAAAGGTTGTCTAGTAGAGAATGCTATTAACATTAAGTCCGCCTTTTTGTCAATTGGTCCTCCTTTAATCAATTTATAATTTAAATAAAAAACAAAATAAAAATAAAACCTATACGGGAATAAATTCTATCAGTTGCTAAAATAATTATCAAAATCGTTCTAGAATTAGCGAACATATTTTCTTATATATATATATATATATATATATATATATATATATATATATATATATAACAAAAAAATCGCCTTAAAAATCCGTAGAAATGAAATGTCTTCTTTTTAAAATGACTGAAAAAGCAAGTCTGTAAATGGATGTTGGTGAGAAATGAATTGAGCGATTCCACTTCATTGAACTTCATTATGAAAAGTGCCTTGATCGATTTACTGTCAAACGCTAAATGCATCAATAGCACACAGCACTCCGCCAACATTGTGCAAGAAAATATATTTAGAGGAAAGTCAGGGCGAAACTTTGTCGTCTGTATTGAAAAAAAAATTTGTCAAAATATTTCTTTAGAAAAAGTTACCTTTTGTTGAGTTGTTCTGAAAAAAAAAATGCATTTGAGACCCAAATAAACTCTCATTCAAATTGTTCATAAAATATTGTATTACATATATTATAATTAATGATCGGGAGTATTTTTTATTTACTTTCTATCTTTCAAGGATATACACACCGCCACTAAAGTTCCATCTCAACCATCTGGATGAGTGGCGGTCCTCCACTATGCCTTTTGAACGCACTTTCTTCCGCGTACAATCATGCTTTAGAATCAACTTCTAGCAGCAATTTTTCCGAATGGATTCCCTGCCGATGACGAGCGGTGCGATGGTGCAAGTGTTCCTTCGTGTTATAAGAAAGAATCTAAGTGTGACAATATGACCGTTCGAGATACAGATTTCATTCGATTTTAAGACACACTGTTAAGTGTTAAATTCTATTGTATGAAACTTTTCCAATTAGAAAACTTCGCGATTGACGGATGAAATGTTCAGTACTTTTAATAAAAGAGAACGAAGAATTCTGAAAACAAGATTGTACCCGTTATGAGAAGATGCATCCCTATGGATAATTTGCGTTTGCTACTATAAAATATAGATATATCTAATAACACTTTTCTACCGACTTCAAAAAAGGAAGAGGTTGTAAATTCGAGTGTATTTCTTGTATATATGTTTGTTACCACACAACTCCGTCATTTATAAACCGATTTGGATTTTTTGTTTATCTGAATGAATATACTTTCAAATCAGTTCCATAGAAATTTTATGAAATTCAGTTGGATAGTTTAATTTTTAAATTTAAATAAATGCTTTTGCAACAATTGTATTGTTACGTAAGTGTGTGTGTGTGTTTTAATCAGGTGGGCCGTCAACTTGTTTACCATTATAAGTAGTATAAAAAAAAAAAAAAAACTATAACTTGCATTTTAACAACATTATTTGTTGGAGTTGGTGCCTGTACTAGGTATTAAACCTGTATTACAAGTCACCAGGACCCTTACCTCTAACAGTACAAGTTATACAGATGAAAACTTTCAGAAAAAAGGTGATGGTGGGTACATAAAAAAAAATTCAGACACAGTGCATATACAAGATAAATAGCTTCCGATATCAATAACAAATTATATGCTAGAGTTAATAAGAATGCATTAAAATATAAGTAAAAAATGTGTGACATAGATATCGGATATTATCCATCTTTAGTGATGAATGGGGTACAACCCTAGCTGTGCCATTGTAGACAGAGAAATGTGATGTCTTTTAAATTTATTTATTATTATAAATTGTAAGAAAGATTGGATTCAATTTGTATTCACGTTGCAATTTTGATTCGATTTTCAAATAAAATATATTGGATAAGACGATGAGCGCAGCACAACCCTAGCTGTGACATCGTAGACAGAGAAATGCTATGCTCCGGTTAAATTATTGTTATTAGTTTTAAGACAAAGTATTTGTTATAAGTTTGTGTTCATTTTGCAATTTTCATTTGTTTGTTTAGTGCCTCTCCAATCAGTAAAAGGGTTTTTTTTATGGGATGCTAGTGGAATGATAACTCCGTATCCGTTATCTATATACTCGTACGCTAGCAGAGCACTAGTGATAGATGACAGTTGAGAATGATGGCAGGTCAGTCAGCATATCGTAAAGAATTCGACAAGAAACACGATGGTTTCCATGGGGAACCACGTGGAGGTCGAAATGGTACAGTATATTGCTAGCAATAGGGCTGCTACTCTCTATTACTAATTAAAACATAATAAATATTAACATTAAAAAACCACGATAGTTTTTATGAGAAACCGTGTGAAGGTTAACTTAATAACTCTGTCGAAGTTCCTGAATACCGAAAGAGCAGTCATAATTATATTTTCATCCCAATAAACAAAACCTATCAATTTATATATATAATCCACATTATGTACAATCCCTTTCTCTCCGTATTCACATACTTGATATATGTAGGTACTAGTAATATTATGACAAGCGGAACTAAGATGCTCAGATGAATGACTAATCCAATATCTTTGACAGGGCGATCCATAAAACCCTTAGAATCATAGATAAAGGATTACTAAATAGGTAGAATTAAATACCTGTGATATTCTCTTTCTACGGTCATATTATTCTCTGCCAATTATAATATAGTGCCGTTGACAGAGAAAAGCACTAAAACTGCAAGTCAACAAAATATTTGATCGTGAATATACCACAATAACAATTATTAAATTGATGTCGGCGCTAAAAATCACACTAAATACACTTTCTTTTTATATAATAAAACTTGTTAAACTTCAGCTGTCATCCACACTATGCCACAATGTGCAGAATATAGTAGGTACATATGTAGTGTAAATTAATACATATAATAAAATTGTCGCTGTTTGTAAATGGCAGATATATAAGAAAAACTACTATCCATAAAGCCTTATGGAAGCAATAGAACCCAATACAATGATTTTCTAAATTTTATCTGTATGTCTGTACGTTTGTGCACGCTAATCTCAGAAACAGCTTCACCAATTTGAATGCGGTTATCACTAATGCGTTACGGTTTGCACCACTTAATATTTAGTGTTTAATTTACTTCATTCGGTTTATAAATAAAAAAAGTAAAAAAAAAAATCTAAAGACTCACATAAAAAATGCTATAAAAGAACCTGATCGGTTGAATTAGCTGAAACTTTATAAAGGTATTAGATACGTAATTATCATTTAAGTATATAATAAAATATAAAACTGGATCCATAAAGCGTTCCAATGAGAATGATATACGGGAACTATATAGTTAGAATATACTAATATATATAAAATACATATATTTTTTTTTATGGTTAAAAATGGTATGGTAACCCCGCCTGCGCTAACGGGATACGTTGGCGGAGCACCAGTGAAGGGTGATCGATGAGAATGAAAACAGGCCAATTAGTCCATAATGATGAATTCATCAGGAATTAACCATGATAGTTTCCAGGGAGAACCGCGAGGAGGTCGACCTGGTTGGGTATATTGCTAGCAATGGGATTCTCAGTTTCCATTACTAACAATCCCTTTCCCCCCCGTAAAAATACATATAATAAAACAACGATAAACTATTGAGTAATTTCGTATTCTTGTACCTATTTGTAATAAGCTTGTAATTATTATAAAATATTACATTCATAGTGTAAAATATATAAAGTGTAATATTTACATATTACTTATTAAAATAATTATCATTGCGTGTAACTTATGCAACAGTAATTTTCTGTTTTTTTTTTTTTATTTTTATATTGTGTTATTATCCAGATACCATACACGTAACCCTAATTACATTCACTTAAATTACATTTAAAAATGAATTTGTTTTGCTCGTAACTTCCGCCGATTCACTACAGGCCACTAACGTGCAGTGAATGCACCTATCTCACTCTAACTCACTTTTTATTACATGTCTGTCTCTTTCACATTACCAAACTTTATATTTTTTACATAAGGTTTTAATCCAACGAAACTCCAATGATGCATAAATTATATTAAAGACAAGTTAATCTTTCATTTTGAAGTATAATATCTATCAAGTATTTATATTTCTTTTATGGGAAGTAATCCTAAAAGGTGAAAAGATCATTACCCGAACTTTGACGTTATGACCTAATAACCGTAATGTAATTTAAATTTTATAAAAAGAAATGCTTCTAATAGAGTCGGGGTCACGAAATGCTATATTTATTGTTCGTTTCTGTTACACTTTCTAATTTATTGAAAGCAGTCTGTAAGTTGTCAATATTAATATTAATTTATTTTTATTATATAATTAGTTATGATTTATATGTTTATTAATTTTATATATATAATGTATAGTTACCAGAGGGAGACTTTGTACAAAAGTCGATTGCTTCGTCGAGTCCTCTGTCCCATTCGTGTTTCAACCGTGAAGGAGTTGTGTTTGCATAGCTGTGTTTCGGTTTGAAGGGTGGAATATGGCGTGAATTTACAGGGTACAGAGGAATAACACCTGAGTCCTCAGGAATGGCAACGCATGGGGGGTATCATGGGCGAAACAGTATACTCTATTATGTCCATGGTACTGCTCATGTCTATAGGCGACGGTTACCACTTTCCATCAGGTGGGCCGTCAGCTTGTTTGCCATTCTAAGATGTGTAAAAAAAAAGTAAGGATAGACTTTTTGTTCTGATTGTCTACCCCACAACTTGGCGTGAAGATAGATATCGTAACTGGCCGTGTTATCATTGCTAATCCGTGACTACTCGAGTTATAAACAACAATAGACGATTTGCGTATGAGAAATGATGGAATAAGGAATAATTCTAGAAAATTCTTCCTCAAAAGGGATGGAGAGGCTCTATTCTGTTATTATCTTTTACAACATAAATAGTAAACAAGCTACCTACTCATCTGATAAGAAGCAGTAACCATAATTTATAGACATAAACACCATTATGAATATCGCAGAACTCTGAGGATATCGTAGGGTGTTATTTCTCTATATCAAGTAACTTCTCTTTATGTCTATATCTGTCCCATAAAAATAAAGTGCAACTTCTATGCGCAAGAAATATGAGTAAAGCCAAGGTATCTACACTATCTGTTATACTACTGTTTAATACTACCATTGCGGGGGAAGGGATTGTTAGTAATGGGGAGGTTAGTCTCCATTGCTATCAGTATACCCTATCAGGTCGACGTCTACGCGGTTCCCCTGGAAACTATCGTGACTAATTTATCGTTGAATTCGTCACGATGGACTAACTGACCTGTTTTTTCATCCTCACCTATCACCTCTCACTGGTACTCCGCCAGTGTACACCAATAGCGCAGGTGAGGTTACCATGTCATTTTCACTCATTAAAAAAACACACTACCACTAGGTGGGGGGGGGGGGGTTGTTAGTAATGGGGTCTAACTGACCCATTGCCAGTAATACGTGGTTCCCCTGAAACCATTGTGGTTAATTCTAGTGGAATTTGTCACGATGGGCTTACTGACCTGAGGGCCTACCATGAAATATTTTCCGAAATTTCGGAGACGAACGAAACAGAAATTTGATGTTAAAATTACATAATACATGCCGTTTAAAATTATAAAAAATGTTAAAATATCGTTCCTCTGAACTATTAGGACAGGATTTATTATGAACGAAATGTTAAGTTCCATTTACTGGGTCGATATCGGTACGAACAAGAACACGAAATTAAGCCCGAAAATTAGGAATTTCATTTCATGGTAGACCACCTGCTTTCACCATCACGTGTCATCCCTCACTGGTGGCCCGCCAGCGTATACCGATAGCGCAGGCAAAGTTACCGTTCCATTATCACCATTACCATTACCACCCATTAAAAAAATACTACCACTAAATAGTATAATGGACTATTTTTCTCTGTCTGTAATATTTTTCATCTCTACAATTAAAAATGTGTAGACAAAGGAATGTTTTTTTTTTTTAAGTCGTCCACTGTAAAATACATTCAATTGCATTAGTAGAATGCTTCCTTAATTGTATCTTAATTATTTTTATTTTGTTTTTAAATTGGCTAATTTATTACAGATCTCTTTGACTACTATGAGCCAACATCCGAGAGAGTTAACGAAGAAATGGTGTTCGAACCAGTACTGACACTGACGAAAAACAAAGAGGAAACTATGTCTCTGAAGAATATTAATTGTGAGAACTTCACAAATTACGCGCTGAATTGTACTGTCCAAGCTGCACTTCTGTATAATTCTAGTAGAAAAACTCCTCCGATGCCAGCAAAGATCGGTGATTGGTGCAGGTGAGTTAAAGTTATGATGCAGTACTTTTTTTATACCACTAAGGTGGCAAACAAGTATACTGCCCACCTGACGGTAAGTGGTTACCGTACGAATACAATGTATAAAAATTTCTCTTCAACTTATCATAGTTAATTCCAAATAAATTAGTCCAATTATATATCAGCCTTTAATTGTCCACTGCTGAGCATAAGCCTGTCCCTTTGGGGTTTTGAGAATAAATGCCACACTTAGCAGGCAAATTGGTAACCGCAGTTAGGTTTTGGAGATATTTTAAGAGGGACGTTGCTGACTATCCTTTGCTCTCTCTTAGTCGCCTCTTACGACACCCACGGAAAAAGAAAGTTCAGCAGTGGACAGTTAAAGGCTGGTATGATAATGATGGAGATATGAACCAAAATATAACTTTGAAAAACTTTTCGCATATACGTTAGTTTATCTCACTGTAACTGTTTGGTTATATACCCTTCACTTTTAACAGGACACGTGTAACTATTATTGAATTTATTAAATCTCGCTTGTAATATAGCAGTTTGCTATTCAATTTACATTTTAATATTACGAAAATCTGTTATTTCACGTTCAGCTTTTACATGAATTGTTTCAATTTAATTAGCTACCTAATTACATAACTGACATTGACAACTTTCATTTGTTAGGGGCAAGGCTTAAAGCGAATATTCTAGGAAAACCTGTAAATAAAGGAATTTCATGCCTAAAATTGCTTTCTAAGGCGTGGAATGATAGGCGTTAGGTAGATGTATTTTATCTTGTTTATACCAGTAAAATGCTAATACACTTTTCAAACGACGTCAAAAATAAGAAAGCTCTCAAATTGATTGTACTTCTTTCATGTTTGTTACCTTATAATTGCATCAGTTATAAACCGATTGTGAAAACTACTTTCTTATCTGTAAGGATATACTTACATACTATATAACCTGTGTATCATACCTAGTTCTTATGAAAGCACTCATATCTCATATATGGAATCCATCCTCATACCTTAGAACCAGAATGGTCATACACAGTGCGGTTTCAAAGGAGCTCCCTTCCGCGAACAATCAGGTTGTCGAATGATCTTCCTGTAAAGGCTTTCCCTAAAGACTGCAGCATAGGGTTCTTTAAAAAGGATGTATTAAGGTTTCTTAAGAGTCAGCTACACTCGCGTGACATTGTTGGTGTTACAGGCGTCTATACGCTACGGTAAGCTTATTTACCATCAGATGGGCCGTAAGCTTGTTTACCACCATAGTAGTATAATAAGAAATATATAGATTCTCGCTATGAAATTCCACGCACAAAATTATCGAGTTAAACCAGAAAATTTGAGCAAACAAAATAGCGAGCACAATACATTTATTAATTAACTACTATATAATACTTCAGTCAATACGAGCCTAGATTTAATTAACTTCACTTGTCAAATATTAATTTGTCATTTATTAATATTGTAACACAATGTAAAATCATCATCTTCCTACCCTTATCCTAATTATTATTTGGAGTCGGCACAATATGCTTTTTATCCATATTGTAAAAAGATTTAGCTTATAGTTTTACGACCGGCCGCCTGCCTGACGTCAACCCTCTTTGGGAATGTCTCAATGTAACTAATGAAAGAGGAAACTCAATGTAAAATGTTTATAGCAAATATCATCGTCATATTAACTGTTAACTATCTACTGTTGAACAAAGGCCTCCCCCATAAGGAGGGTTTTGCCAGTAGTTGCCACGCTTGGCAGGCGGGTTGGCATCTGTTAGGCTTTGGTGATGTTTTAAGAGGGACTCTGCTGTCTATCCTTCGATCCTTAATCGAAATCAAGTAGTTATACCTTTTCTGTGAAAGGGTATATGTGTTTTTTTCTAATAATATCAATATATTTGACTCGAACACATCTCTATTTGGGATAAGTCCGCCTGTGTACTTATTATATATTTTTTGTATGTGTGAAATTTCTCCATACGTGATCTATATACTTACATCTATGTTCTGTTACTATATTCATATAATCAAAGTGTAACTAAATCTATTGTGAAGTGGCTATAGGCTGGTTACATAGCTGGAAGAACCGGCAACCGATAGGGAAGAAAAGTTCTTGAGTGACGACTCCTTACGGATAAAAGCAGTGTATGACGACTCCCTTACTAGTGTCAAGGAGCGACAACGTCAAACGCATTGCAGGAAGTCAGTGGATGCAGGTGGGTCAGGACCGTTCTTTATGGCAGTCTATGGAAGAGGCACATGTTCAATAATGGATGAATAATAACCGTGATGATGGTGATGAACTAAACCTATTGATATAAAGGAAATATGAGTGTTTAAGAAAAATGAGGTCAATGAATATTCTTTAATAAGAGGAGTTATTTTAAGAACAATAAAAGGCGAAATAATAATTTTATATATTTCTGTCTATATGTCTATTCCGACATCACGCAAGGACTAGTGGACCAAATTGGATGGTATTTCCACAATTGTAATCCTTAAGATCGCTCTAACTTAAAATCTAAAGTAAAATTAAAAAAGTAAAATCTTCAATTAAAATTTAAATAAGTTACATAGAAAAGCTAGTAAACAAAAAAAAGAATAGAAGTAAAAACAGCCAGTATTAAAAATTGCAAGCAAACAAACAAACAAACATTCTGCTATGAAAAGTTAATGTCATCTGTAAAATAACACGAGAATTTATGCCGGTAAACAAACTATTCAACTCTAGTGAAATGCATTCTATTGTTTTTATGCAAAAACAAATGAATGCAGCAGGATTTCCTTTGTTTACCTAAAACGTTTAATTGAATTAAATTTATATTTAAGAATTTATTACAGAGTACATAATATCCTGTAGAATATCATATGTATTAGGTATGGGTAATATGAATACCGATCCAATATCTATATGTTGGATTTCTCTGGACATTAATGGTGAGAAACGGTCATCACCCAATTCGATATCGCCCATGTCGGTCGGATATCTATTTTCGAAGGTATTAGGAAGGTTATAGGAAAGTCTGTTATTCAATATTATTTTTTAGATAACAAACTTTTAACGTATTCGTTATAGGACCAGTATTTAGATATTGTAACTAAAATATATAGGTATTGCTATATATTGTCCATCCCTAATAGTTATGTAAGTTTATGGCGAAGTTAATGCAAATAACTTAGGGGGAAAAGGGATTCTTAGTAATGGGGATTAGTGGTCGCATTTGTATCAGTGCACCCTATTAAGTTGACCTCCTCGCCGGTTATGACTATGAAATTTGATACACACATGTAGAATAGGGAAGGATAAAAGATACTTTTTATCCTGGTCAGTAAACAAATAAAAAAAAAATAAACAAAAGTTTGTTTACTTTTAGAAAATAAAAGAATTTAACAAAAGTAAATGAAATTGGTCGGTAACGCGAGCGTGACATCTCTGGTTTTACAGGTGTCCATAGGCTACGATAACCCCAATCATACGAATTGTATACACCATAGTTGTATAAAAAATTGACCCGGTCACGCGGACGAATTCACGGGTAAAAGCTAGTATGTTATAATTTAAAGAATGTCATGATTGCACTCATATTAATACCTGCGTTCTCGTCGCATCCCTTTTCCAGAGCGATACGACACCTCACAAATTGCGCCATAGACTGGAATGCAGACTGCAAAGATGTGACAGAGAGTCACTTCAACGAAGAGAGTATAAAGGGCCACATGCACGTTGTTGACAGCGTATGTGATGACGAGTGGTTTTTATCACGTATGTTGTGTGACATTCTTATTTTAGCCAACTTCAAAAAAGAGTGACGGTCTCAAATCGACTGTTTTTCTCAAAGGGTTCCTGCTACGAGTGGTTAATGTATTCTTTTTTGTTTATGCGACTTGTAATGGCAGACAAGTTGACGGACTATATCAGATTGAAAGCAATCATCGCCTTTAGACATGAACAAAACCAGAAAAACCACAGATACACTCCAATCTCCATGGTGCATTCATATATTGGTTCCTGAAGACTAAAATATTACTCGTATACCTAATTTATTATTTTATTCCCTTAATTTAACAGCTCCCACTTTTCATATCATATATGTCCAGGACACGACATAAAACTCTGCCTCTCCATAAGCGTAGTCTTAAGCGGACCATAAACGGTCGAGCGGCTTGACTTAAAACTAGAGGGAGACTGTACAAAAGTCGTTTGGTAGGTACCTCTGACTCATTCGTGTTTCAACCGTAAAGCAGTTGTGTTTGCATGGTTGTGTTTCGGTTTGAAGGGTAGAATACGGTAGTAAATTTACAGGGTACAAAGGAATAACACCTTAGTCTTCAGGAATGGCAACGCATAGAGGGTATTATGGACGTAACAGTATACTGTTTTATGTCCATGGTACTGCTCATGTCTATAGGCGACGATTACCACTTTCCATCAGGTGGGCAGTCAGCTTGTTTGCCATTCTAAGTTGCATAAAAAATAAAGCACATATATTTTTTTCTTTTTGAAAGAAAGACCACACTGTTCTAGAGGTTCTTCTTTTTTTTTTCTTATATGACCAGCAAATTATCATTACTGAAACTGATTGGTCCAGAACGTATAATTTGCTGATCGTCTACAGAGCCCATTATTAAGATGCACTTTAATTGACAGGGTACGACGAACTACCAATCTGTATAGAAGCTACAGCAGACGTCTGGGAGTCGTGTTACACAACGTTCAAGATACTGGTCGACGAACTAAAGAATACAACTCACGAGTGGACTCATTTTGAAACACATTTCTATTTATGCTGGTCAGTAGCATATACACTTTATACACTGATTCCCTGCAATACATTTGAAGTCGTAACTTCATCTAGCAGTAGGAGTTCGTACTACACTGCGTTTGTCCTACATTACTATTTGAAATTTCTTCATAATCGGATTTTACCGTTCAGCTTTTTCTTTTTAATTGCATATTTGAATATTAATAAAAAATATAGACATTTAGAAAACTTGAAATTAAAATTGTATTTATTTTATGTTGTTTCCTCAAAATGTGCTATTAGATTTGGTAAAAAATTTGAATACGAACCAAATTTTTAAAAAATGTTCTAATACTGCACCATTGTCTTAGTTTTCCCATCAATATACTGAGCGCATTTTTTTTTTCTTTCATTGCAGCGCCCGAGCACAATTCCGCAGATGTACGCTGGACTCGATTTTTGAAATTCCAACAATATGCACCCACGAGCAGGCTGTCACGTTGCAGAAATTTTCAGTAATTGTCTCCGAAGGTGACGTTTTTCAGGTGAGCTCGCATGCAAGCCGGTGACGCATCGCAAAAATTCATATCAGCTAAAAATGCAGTGTTTAAACGTTGTAGCCACATGCAAAAATGAAATGTGATACTATCAAATGAATTGTAAAAAGAGGCTACAATAGGGTTTTCAAAATAGCTGTATCTTACTTTATAAAAAAAAACCTTTTATAATATTATGCTATTAAATACAAACGCATTCGCTGTGTGGTCTCAGCAATTTATGGGCCACCCTTTCCTTTCTCGTGGATCTCATAAGAGGCGACGAAGGGAACCTAATGGTAGAGGGATGGGCAGCAGCGTCCCTCTTAAAACATCATCAAAGCATAACTGCGGTTGTCAGCTCGCCTGCCAAGCGTGGCAACTACTGGCAAAACCGCCCAATTAGGGGAGGTCTATGTTCAGCAGTGCACAGTTAAAGGCTGATATCACGATAATGATACAAACGCATTGAAAATCACAATTTATTAAAGGTCAGTTATATTACAGTTTTCATATTTATTGAAACTTTATTGATCAATAAAAATGTAGCACAAAAAGCGGACTTAATGCTATAGGCATTCTTTATCATTCAACCTTTAGGATATGCAGAATATTTATTGAAGGTACTCGTAATATCGAGAAAAGTATTCATATTGATTAATATAAGAATGCAGATTTATTCTATTAATTTTAATTTGTAAGGCAAATTATTTTTTATTTATTTATTTTTATTTGGAGAAAACAATATTATTTTTATTTGATATATAATTATTTTTATTTGGAAAAAAAGATAATGATAAAAAATGTACATAATGTAGGGTATAAATGTAAATATTTTTTCAAATTGCATTACAAATTAAAATATAAGGGCAAATACTGCAAAAGGATAGTTAATAAAAAAGAAATAAATGTTTTGTAAAATATCATTTATTGAATTTGATCGATAATGTAGCCTACAATAAATAGAACAAAATACAGTCGATTTTTTTTTCGTGTAAAATTTGTAAATTTTAACCCTAAGGTTTTAATTTAAAATTATATACGCTTAATCCATATCTTTCGGCTGGGTTAAGGTATCTCCAAACCAAATTCAAATGCTAAAGTATACTACAATATATTTATAATATTAGTAGAATTAATACAGACAATGAATTTCATTTATTTCTGTATTTAATTCCAACACTTAAATATAATTACAAATGGATCATTGCCTTTTAAATTCCAACCTTCACCCGTCAATTTCGTGGGATACAATAAAATATACATTTTCTTGGACTAAAGGAGTAGTCGCGAGGCGGGGAAAATCTAATTTGTTGTTCACTCGGAAGACTTGGCGACGTGTCTTTGAAATTTCTTGAGAATTTTAAACATAGTCGCTGAATATATTCAACACACTGTTACGTTTAATACCTCTCCAGATGTCACACCGTTGGTATTATTTATTTTAATAAGAATGTCTTCCTATTATGCTTCTTCAAGAACAAAGGGATCATTGATGGGATTACATTTTATGAAGCTTCTGTACTTATCATTTATTACTAGTTGATGTTTTTTTCTTAACCGATTACTTCCAGCTGGTTCTGCCACAGAATTTGTCTTACCACCTACTTGCTCTTAAGACTCTGTTTAGAGATACTGGTCTCAAAAAGTTATCAAAAGGTCACGACATAAAGAGTAATTGTAATAAAGCTTGTTTCCTTTAACAAGCACTGTGACAGCTCATATAAAGATAGTTGCAACGCTTGACAGGCAGATCGGCAACCGTATTTAGGCTTTAGAGTTGTTTTAAGAAGGACGGCTGCTGACCATCCCCAGCCCTCCCTTAGTCGATTCTTACGACACCCACAGAAAAGGATGGGGTGGCCTATTCTAAGCCGGGACTACAAGTCTATATTTTTTTTACAATTACATAATTATTTTTACAATTACAATAACCAACTTTGTACTCTCTCTGGTGCATGTGGTTACATGTCTAGCTATTTAAAAGTGTACAAAACTGTGCCTATATAGCAATCTCGTAAACAAGTACTACGAATGATAATTTAATATGTAAACTTCTTGTTTACATTGAGATAACTGTGTACAAAAACAGATCGACCGAGAACCGATCAGTAATTATCGGTCTCATAAAATATGCAACGCAAAGCACTGCCAATGTCACGACCCGTGTCAATTTTTGTTTGTTCAATTTGTGCTATCGAAAAAGGCAAACGCACTTTACCTATGCAATCATAATGTTAATTATTCTTCCAATTATTTCAATTGACGTCATTGCAGCACTTTTTATTGGTTCACTGGTGTTGATTATAAATGATTCAAAGTACTTTAAGATTAAAATTTAACGATGCCATATTTTACAATTATGGAAATTTCTCTTATACATTATTATTATATCGTTCTACCGCTGGGAATCTGGGATCTTATCACATCAGCTGTAAACTTTTCATTGCTGAACATAGGCCTCACCCGTAAGGGGGTTTTGCCAGTAGTCCACACTTGTCAGACAAGTTGACGACCACAGTTAGACTTAGATAACTTAGTCCTCAGGAATGGCAACGCATGGGGGGTATCATGGGCGAAACAGTATACTCTGTTATGTCCATGGTACTGCTCATGTCTATAGGCGACGGTTACCACTTTTCATCAGGTGGGCCGTCAGCTTGCTTGCCATTCTAAGTGGTATAAAAAAAACTTGGGTATTTTAAGACAGACGCTCTTGTCTGTCTCTCGACTATTAAGTTCCTTTAGTCGCCTTTTACGATACCCACGTATAAGGACGAGATGGCCTATTATATGCCAGGACCATACGGCCTTTAATTCATCACTCTCAATTATACTTTATTATTAAAGAGCAATACGTAGTAGCATGAAGAACAACGATAGCGTTTTTTCTTATGTGAGAATGCAGTTAAGGAATGACACATCCCTGGGGGAACACTGAGCTCTGAAGTCACGGAGCTCGGAAGCCCTTTACCCGGGGTTTTGTGAATAGTATTTTATATTATGCTTTTATATTACTGCTAATATTTTAGCTTTTGCTTACTGAATTCATTTTTACAGGACTGTGACCGTAATATGATGTACAAAAATTGTCCTGGCGGGGATCCACGGCCAAACCACAGTCAGTTGTCTAAATTAATGAACGTAGAGTTTACCAACACTGCGAATATATTTGTACCAAATCATATTGTGATTGTAATATTTATTGTCTTCTTTGAATATTAAATGTTTAAAGAATTGATTATGCACTCTTTGTTATGAAGAGAGTCAAGTTATATCTGTATGTTTAAGATTATGTAGATAGAACATCGAATATCAAGAATAAGTAAAAATTTTGTCAGCTAAAGTGACGTTTGGCTGATTAAGTTTGGACATATTATTATTATTCAGTTTTGCAAGTGAACTATCCATTGCTGAACATAGTCCTATAAGGGTGGGGGGGGGGGGAGGAAATGCTTGTGACGCTTTGCAGACGGGTTGGCAACCGCAGTTAAGCTTTAGTAATGTTTCAAAAAGGACGCTGCTGCCCATCCTTCGAGCATTAAATTCTCTTAGTCGCCTCTTACGACATCCATGGGTAAGGAAAGGGTGGCCTATTTTATGCCGAGACCTACACGGCGGTATTGCAAGTAGTAAGAATAAAACGATACCAGATCGTATTAAAATATATATATATATATATATATATATATTTCTGATTTAATATAAATATACATAATTTAAGTATTCTTATAGATTAATATAAATGTATAAAATGGCAGCTTTTCAATTTTCAATGATCTATAAAGGAAAACATATTTTAAGTATGTACTCAAATATAAAATAATCTGTACAGATAAGCATTATTATGAATAATTATCCACTATTTACCTTATAATTTCAAATAGATATATTCGTAAAATATTCGTATCGTTTTTATTTTTCAGCTTGTCCTTATAATACGAGGTCTGTCCGGAAAGTTCGTATAAAAGTGTTCTGGAATGCGAGAAAGAGGAGTGGGGAGGCCAGGTAAGCGCAGGACCCCTTCCTTATGTCCCTAACAATGCTTCAGTTCTGGTCTGACCGCCGTGCGGTGCGAACTGGCTTGTCACGCCATCTGTGAAGTTACCTCTTAACGAAACCCCGTCGGCATGGAGCCCGCTTCCGTTGAAGAGCAGCGCGTCGTAATCAAGTTTCTCTCGAAACTCGGCAAGAATGGCCGTGAAATTTTTGCCGATCTCAGAACAGTTTATGGGGATGATGCTGTGAAGGAACCAACCGTCCACAAGTGGCTAAAAAGATTCAGAGAGGGCCGAGAAAGCGTTCAAGATGACCCACGTTCAGGACGTCCTTCCACTTCACATTCCGACGAAAACGTGGAAAGAATTCGAACTTGTGTTAATGGGGACCGTCGTTTAACGGTCAGACAGGTAAGAGCTTAATTTGGGCAAAACCGTGGTCCACGAAATTCTAAGAAACGAACTTCAAATGAAAAAAATTTGCGCCAAGATCGTTCCGTGAGTTTTTGAGTAAAAATTCCATTACGGTGATATTCGCCGGATTTGGCCCCGTGTGACTTCTTCTTGTTCCCAAAAACCAAATTGGTACTTCGGGGGCGGCATTTGGGGGACATAAATGAGATAAAAAAAGCTACGACGGGGCAGCTGAGAAACCTACAACCAGAGGACTTTCAAGGAGCCTTCTCACAGTGGAAACGGCGTTGGCACAAGTGCATTATGTCACAGGGGGAGTACTTTGAAGGGGATAAAATTGATTTACCTGAATAATTGTAAAATAAAATTTTTAAAAAACTTTTATACGTACTTTCCGGACAAACCTCGTATACATTCCTCTCGCATAATTAATACAAGTGTATTATTATTAAATCTAGATACAAATGTTTCGCTAAAAACAGGTAATTTTTTTTATCCATTATATAATAATCCATTATAAAGTATATACATTTCACACTATAACATCTAAATCTATATACTATATTTAGGCACTGCTCGCCATGGACAGGGGGAATCCCTATCCTTAGACTACAGTAAGTAGTCTCTAAGGATAGGGATTCCCCCTGTCTGACTAAAATATTATTTATAATTAGTTTTAAATACTAAATCTGAGAAAATGTTTACCAAAAAAAAAAACTTAATACGACTACTGTGCGGTGATAATCTCTCGCAAATTCAACTTATCCGACAAGGGACCTTGTATTCAAGGCACTTAAGTTTAGTTTTCACAAAAAAGAAGCGTCCGTTGTCGATAAGAAAGCCCTTATGGTATCCCGGATAATGCGACTTTAATTCGAGTTCAACAACTCATAAAACGAGGGTATCTTCGATGTATTTAAATGTACTTACATAGTTAAACTGTAATTTGTTATAAGTTATCTACAGTTAGCGAGGGAAGTTGATAAACAAACTTATGCTGTAAGTTTGTAGATTTTAAAATTTACATTCTTTAAAATATGTTTTTATTTCTGGAAGAATATTATGTAGTATTTTTAGACGCATTCAAAAAGGTAAATATCTTATAATAACTTTAAGTCTATGGATTGCATCAAGTAATATAAGAGGTCTTAATGATAAGACTAATAGATGCCAAAACAATAATTTAGAAATTTTGCCTGTCTATTTATTTGTCTGTGTGTTTATATGGATATTACGCAAAAACAACTGCAACAAATAGGAGTCGGTTCTGACAGTTATGTTCCTGAAGATATATTTTATAATGTAATGTTTGTTTTGTCTTAATACGTCATCTAGAAATGCATCAGGAATATCATTGGTTTCTTACTTCAGAAATCCACGAGTACGAAGTAGTGAGAAAAAAACTAGTTGTAAGTAAAAGATATTATTAATATTGAAACTATGAAAAGTCTTCTAAGTCTTGGAATTACAAAAAAGATAATTGCCTATCATAATTATGGGCATAAAATACATGATTAAAAGAAAGGCCCCGTGGTTCCATCATAGAATAGACCACCCTTCCTTTCCCGTGGGTTTCGTAATAGGCGACTAAGGAAGGGCGAGGGATAGGCAGCAGCATCCCTCTTAAAACATCTCCAAAACCTAACTGCGCTTGCTAATCTGCCTGCCAAACATGGCAACTACTGGCAAAGTCCCCAAAGAGGAGGCTTATTTTTAGCAGAAGACAGTTAAAGGCTGATAATAATATGATGAATACACGAATAACCGTGTTAAATCTCATGCACTAATGGTCTCATACCATTCCTAAGGATTAAGTGGCCTGTGTAATTGTTGACATAGAAATATGACATTTCGCATAGTAACTCCTTGATGGAGGTGAGAGAAGCAGGGGGAAACAATTAGCTATCATAACCTGGAACAGTTTGTCATATTAATTAATTAATTTAAACCCAACATTAGTGGCAATTCGTTCCACTCGAAATTCCATACTAAATTAACCCTGACAAATTTCAGCCTTGACGGCCGGATGTGTCGACAAAGGCTTTAGGTGATGTAGAACATTATATATCCTTACTGATATTACAAAATGTGATAGTTTTTTTTTTTTTTGTTATCTTACAGCGCCTTAACAGCTTAACAAATTACTAAGAAATTTGGTATATTTATTTATTTATTTTACACCTTATTGCATCAAGCAACAAAGAATAATTACAATAAATATTAATGAGAAGTGATACAAAAAGCGACCTTATCGCTAGGCAATCTCTTCTAGACAACTTTTGAGTAGAGACATTGAGAAAAAGACAAAGGGTAGGTGGCCCACTATTTTACAGGTACTAATGTATACAAACATACATATATAAATATATAAAAACAAATATATACGTAAACATATACATATTTGAAAGTACACATACAACAAGAGAGAATGACAGAGGAAAATGAAGAGAGAACACAGGAAAAAACTAAAGGGAGAGATAGTAGGATTTAAGAGGTTTTGAAGCTAGAGACAGCTTGAACGCACCGAATAGAAGTAGGTAGTGAGTTCCACAGGCGAACTGCCTGGACAGTATAGGATTTAGAATAAAAGGAAGAAGAATGAACGGGAAAAAAAGTATGGTCTTTAGCCTCACTGAGAAACACGAATCGGTCTTTTAGATAATCAGAAGCAACAGGGTTATAAAGTATTGCGGAATGAAGAGATAGGATAAGCATATTACGACGAAAATGTATAGGGAGCCACTTGAGTTAATGTTATATCAAAAAATAGTCTCAATTCACATTTAAAAGATCGATCTTATCTGGAAATTTTTTAATCCAATTACTTGCAACCAGAATGGCAAACAAGCTGACGGCCCACCTAATGTAAAGTGGTAACCGTCGCCTATAGACATGAGCAGTACTATGGACATAACAGAGTATACTGTTTCACCCATGATACCTCTATGCGTTGCCATTCCTGAGGACTTAGGTGTTATTCCTCCGTACCCAGTAAATTCACACCATATCCGACCCTTCAAACCGAAACACAGCCATGCAAACACAACTTCTTTACGGTAGAAACACGAATAGAACAGAGGTACCCAAGCAATCGACTATTGTACAAAGCTTTGTATTGGTTTGAAAAAAAATTTTTGAAAATGTAGATAGATAGTCAAACCTCAAATTAATTGAGAATGTTATGAACCCGTTTGACTCTCAATTTATATAATCTAAGTATGTCCTAAACACGATTTTCATTTCTCTGAAATGTATTTATTTTTGTCAAGTACAATACATTTCGTTCACCTTTTGCCCTTTTAAAATTATTCCGTTTGTATCTCCGTAATCCGCTGATGCTTAAATGATAAGGAGTGTTTGTCGACTGAGGTGAAGCTGAGATACCTACAGCGCACACCTGAGCTGGTTGCGGTATGGTAGTATACTGTTACTCCAATTTACATACGTGTAATTATTTTTATTTAAAATTACTTATTAAATCTCTAATACAACTGAGACAAATCATACAGACGCCTTGATTTTTTTTTTATATGTTTAATTGATATTTTTTTACATTTTTCTTTAACACTAGTTTTTTACATGCGACTTCTTTCGCGTTACCAACATATTACGTTAACTGACTCGATAAATAGTAACCTATAATAAAAAGTACTTATTCATTTCAAACACAACATATATACCAAATTGAGGAACGATCGAAATCGATCGTTATCAGCTAAATAGCTGATATCTTGTCAAAAAAATAAAATAAAAAATCAACTTCACATTTATAATATCAAGAAGTATTAGTTATAATTTTTGTTTATATTTAGT